TATCAGAGTTATTGTTCCCGGTCAAGATGGACAACCCAATGATGAGGAGTCAGTTGGCTAAACCGACCCAATTGCAATCAAACGTTTTACGGTGGGAAGTATGCTATATAAGCAACTTCATGAGTTTCGTTTGGAGTTGAATATTGAGGTGCAGACACTTTTAAAGAATTATTTGGGGAAATCAAATATCAACGACTCAATGAATGGCAAGGAGTCGGATGAATCATCAATGACGATAAGCTCATTATAGAAAGAACCTGACGTAGTCAGAATGTTCGATGAAAAGCACGAACGAAATGATGAAGCTAAAGATGGTGAAGTTATAACGATTGAGATGGAGCCAAGGTTTCTCACAGTTATGGTTTCAGATGTTGATAGACTGAAGCTCAGTCAATGGTTTTAACATGTTCATATGACTCGATTAGGGACTCGTCTACATCGTTGAAGGTTACAACTCAAAGCTCTGTGTGACGTTGAAATGATTAAGGGGTTGTTGGGGAAGTCAAAGACCAAAGCCCTGACCTTTGAGGGGTATGATGAACAACTTTATGCAGTTTCGATGATGGTTAATTCGAATTGAACTATGGAGCCTAAAGGAATTTAGGACTCCTATATGCATTGGGAGGGCACTGTTCGACCAATCCAAAATAATTGGATTGATATGTTGCGCAATACGACTATCAATAGAGCAAGATCGCAACTGATAATTTGATAAAATAAAAATGAAGATAAAAAAGAGAAATTTTACGTGGAAAACTCCTAAATAATATAGGATAAAAACTATGGAAAATGTAGAAGACTTTCACTATCGGAAAATATGAATTACAACTTCTCTCGATCTAACAAGGAGAAAACAATGACAATTCTCTCTTGATAAAAAAAGAAAACAACTCTCAAGAAAATTCTCTAATTTCTTTAGTATTGGGAGAAAGCTAGAATGATTTTGGGATGTTTTTGAAGCTAAATGGGTTAGGGTATTTATAGTTGAAACTTAAGGACTAATATTGTAAATACCTAAAATACAGAAACTAAATTGGGTAATTTTTCCGTTGCCAATTTTCAACCAAAATCTGCCGTGAATCTTGAATTTTACCACTGCACCATTCGATGCATTAATGCACCGAAAAAATCTTTGACTTTTAACAATCTCCCACTTGAATATTTGATTGTAACAATCATATCTTCACACTATTCTTCTATATTGTACATTCATGTTGCTTACGTCTCTAATAGGCCACAAGAGGATCGACACCAAGTAAATTTGTCAACATTGACTGCATTTGTCATGAAATTATGGATTTTCTGCATATCTACTGCCCCTTCTTCCACTTTTCACGAACGAAATGGTACTGAACTCGTATGTGTTTTGTCCTTGAATGAAATGTTGGATTCCTTGCTAGATGCAAGACACTTTGACTTTCACAAAACATAAAGACTTACTCTTGATTGTGCCCGATCTCCTCCAATATGATCTTCAACCAAATTGCTTCTTTACTGGCTTGTGTAGCTGCTACATATTCTGCCTCTGTTGTTGATGTAACGACAACTGACTGTAATTTTGGAATCCAGCTTACAACTCCACCAGCAACTTTGAACACATATCATGCAGTAGATTTTCCTTTATCCAAATCTCTTGCATAGTCAGAATCGACATATTCATTGATAAGTAAGTTTGAACCTCCATAACATAGGGAAATATTTGAGGTCTCTTTGATGTATCTCAAGATCCTCTTTAATGTATTCCAATTATCTTTTCCTGGATTCGCCATGTACCGACTACCATTCCAACTTGTTGTGCAATGTTTGGTCTTGTGCATATCATAGCAAACATTAAATTTCCCACTGCCGATGCATATGGTACTCGAGACATCTTCATCCTTTATGCTTCACTGTTAGGACTCATACTGGAGGATAATTTGAAGTTAATAAGAAAATGGGTAGAAATTGGCTTACAATCTTGCATATTGAATCGTGACAAGATCTTCTTCAAGTAATGCTTTTGTGAAAGCCAAATCTTCCGATTACTTCTGTCTTGGTGAATTTGCATCCCTAGAATCTTATTTACTGATACCAAATCCTTCATTTCAAATTCCCTAGCCAGTTGTGCCTTCAATTATTCAATATGATCTTTGTTGGGGCCTGCAACCAACATGTCATCCACATACAATAACAATATAACAAAATCATTATCGCCAAATCTCTTGACAGAGTGAATGAATTAAATCTCTTATACCAATACCTCGTCGCCTATTTTAGACCGTACAGAGATTTGTTCAACCTGTAAACCAAGTTCTTATTTTATTTTTCTTCAAAACCTTCAGGCTGGAGCATGCAAATCTCTTTTTTAAGATTTCCATGAAGAAAAGTTGTTGTAATATCTAGATGCTCTAGATGTAAGTTCAATGTAGCACACATTACCAAGACTACTCGAACCGTTGTTAGTCGAACTATAGGAGAAAAGATTTCATTGAAATCAACACCTTCTTTTTGAGCATATCCTTTGACCACCAGTCTTGCACGATACCTCTCCACCATATCATTGCATGATGTGATCATGACCACACTAACTGATCCCAAAGTCATGCCTAAAGGATCTATCACTCGTGCAAGGGCAAAATAATTCAGGGAAGTACTTTCTCATAAGTGTATTCATGCTTTTAAATCCTTTAATTAAAAAGAACCTTTAAATAATAGGTTATTTAATATATTGCAAGTTGATTATTAAAATAACATATAGTCCACATCTTTATAATATGCAAATCATTATTACTTTATAATATTTCCTATAACTTAATTTCTATATCTTTAAATATAGGTACATTCGACCACACTTAAGGAAGCTGATTTGAGCTAAATGGTGAAAGCTACAGTAAGGAAACTCATATAGGGACACTCAGGAGAACATAAGGAATATTTGGTGAAAAGGTATTCGGAGGCAAGTGAGCTCATAGTTGGGTTGAGCTGAAGATTCGAGCTAGAAGATGACTTCAATTCAGCTGGGGAGCTACACCATCATCATCACCACTCAGAATACTCCAAATATGGGTCAAGTCAAATTTTCAGAAATCATACCTTTTCGCGAAGAGGTGCAATTTCAGGAGTTGACTTTTCACAAAGAGCTTCCATAACATTCACCATGTTACAACTCACCTATGGCCAGCTCACCTCCAGCTTATTCACCTTAGAATTAGCTCAAATATAAAAGATTACCTTCCAACAATTGTGACATTTCGTGAATGTTGTTGCCATGAAGATGTCTTTCAACAAGGTGCACGTTGGTGAAGAGATCTCATCAAATAGAGGCCTAAATCACGAGGATGTATGAGGAAAGCAACATGACCATTCGACCAACCCCCACACGCCTAGCACATGCATAAGACTTGGCGCCAAAGTTGAAATATCACCTAACCATTCGGCCAATAGAGATATCTTCATTCCAGCCGAATCATCAAGTCCTTTCATGAAGGAGTAGTCGAATCAACACAAAGGCCAAGGGACATCTCCATTCGTCCAAAGCATCATGCACCTTCAAATAGCCATGTATTTAGCCAAATAGACATCTAATTATTCAGCCATCCCTCTCATTTCTTATAAATTGAGAGTCTGCCATCATTTGTAATCATCTAATTCATATTATAAAATAACTTTTTTTGTGAGTTAATATATCTTCCAAGTTCTTTAAGAACTTTATCGATTAAACAAATATATTTCTATACTAGTGGCATCATACTTTCCATCTTGATTCTTATAATTCCTAGATTTCATATCTAGTGGGTTTAAGACACCATTATCATCCCTCAAGAAAGTTTGTGAACACCGGGTTGCGCTCTCTAGTATATCTTCTTTTTTAGGGTGTTTGAGGTACAACTTCATCTCCATCATCCATTCAACTTCAACACCATCATCCACCTTCCATTGAAGACCACCAACAACATCATCTTCAACATAATTCCGCAACCAACTCCTCTTCTTTTTATTCATTTTTATATCATTTATTTACCTATCCATTCCATTATATCCTTAGTAATCAATTTACTTATCTTCCTTTGTTGCAACCACACTTATAATTCAAGGGTATTGCTTTTTGTCATTCCTAGATTGTGACAACAATAAGGCTATCTATTCACTTCCTTTGAAGGGTGTAGATTCATCTTATATCAACTGGTATTTAGAGCATAGTTGGATTGATACAAAAAGTACCATTGGAGTGCAGCAAACAAAAAGAAAAAGAAAAAAAGTTCAAAAGGAAATCAAAGCTCCTACATCAAACAAAGGAGTACAAAAACAAAAAGAAAGTTCAAATAGGAAGAAAAAAAATTCTAGCAAAAGAGAAAGTCAAAGCCAAGGAAAGTGCATTACCATTTCAAGACAACTAAGGAGGCATATCTACACCGAGAAAGATAACCTTATTGTGTCTCGTGAAAGGGTACATAAGTATTGTTCTTGGGAGTTAAGTCACATATTCCTTCTTTGTTTTCATTCAATTTCCTAAACCATTTCATTCTTTTAATTTCTTTTATTTCAACCATTTTTTATCTTCCCATTTATTATTTTCCTGTCCATACTAACCTATATTACAACCGACGCACAAGAGAGAAAGTTCTTGTTATAATATTGAGTTAGTTCTTTAAAAGAACCTAACAAGAGATATAGAGTGGAAAAAGGCATAATGAGTGAGTGAGGTCAGAAGGGGAATTGTTAAAAGCCAAAATATATTCCCGAGCGTAAACACGAGCATTGAGTGGAGTGACATCTTATCTTTTCTTTAGAGTGAAGATTGTGAGGCTTTGTGAGTGTGTTGGTAAGGTTTATTTTATTTTATTTATCATTAACAATTTCTCAAGTTTCAAGACAAGTTCTGGTTGTTAAAAGGACTTTAAATATTCGATATATGGAGGACAATCAAAGAGAGAATATCTTTCACACTCGTGCCATATAAACAACAAAGTTTGTTTCATGATTATCGATGGAGGAAGTTGTAAAATGTTGCAAGCACTTCAATGGTGGCAAAGCTCGGACTCAAGACGATTAAACATCCCACACCATACAAGTTACAATGGCTAAATGATGGGGGAGAAGTTAAGGTCACCAAGCAAGTCACTATTCCATTCTCTATTGGGAAATACCAAGACGAAGCCCTTTGTTATGTGGTACCAATGAATGCATGTCATATACTCCTAGGGAGGCCTTGGCAATACGATAAGCAGGTTGTTCATGATGGCTTCACAAATCGGTACTCTTTCTTCCACAATGAAAGGAAAGTCATTTTGACTCCACTTTCACCAAGCCGAGTATCCGAAGATCATGATACTTTGAAAAAAAACATTGAAGCTTCCAAATCTATTAAGGAGGAGGAACCAACAAAGATGAACATCTATGCTGGAGGGAAGGATATTAGAAAGCACATTTTATCCCACAAGGCTCTAATTGTACTTATGTACAAGGAAAACCTGTTTTTTATTAACATTCCAGAAGGTTTGCCTTTTTCAATTTCATATTTATTGTAGGAATTCGAAGAGTTATTTCAAGAAGACATCCCTAGTGGTTTACCACCCATTAGAGGAATCGAACATCAAATTGATTTCATACCTGGTGTATCCATTCCAAACCGACCAGCATATAGAAATAATCCTATAGAGAACAAAGAACTTCAAATGCAAGTTGGAGAATTGATGACCAAGGGATACATACGAGAAAGCTAAGTTCGTGTGTTATTCTGGTGTTACTTATACTAAAAAAAGACGGTTCATGGAATATATGTGTAGACTGTCGTGCCATTAACCAAATTACGTAAAGTATCGACACCCTATACTGAGACTTGATGATATGTTGGATGAATTGAGTGGTTCCACCCTATTCTCCAAGATTGATCTAAAGAGTGGATATCATCAAATCAGAATGTGAGAAGGAGATGAATGAAAAACTACATTCAAGACAAAGCAAGGTTTGTACGAATGGATGGTGATGGCTTTCGACTTAACCAAAGCTCCTAGCACTTTCATAAGGTTAATCAATCACGTACTTCGGTCATTCATCGATAAGTTTTTTATGGTTTACTTTGATGAAATTTTGATTTATAACCATAACTTGAAAACACATGCGCAATATTTGAGGTATTTTCTTGAAAACCTTCAAAAGGAAAAACTTTATGCTAATATGAAGAAATGTGTCTTTTGCACTAACAGTTTATCCTTTTTAGGCTTTATTGTAAGTTAGTAGGGTTTGGAATTTGATCCTGAAAATATTAAAGCCATCCAAGAGTGGCAAACGCCCACTTTAATCAGTCAATTCCGAAGTTTTCATGGTCTTGCAAGTTTTTATAGGAGGTTTGTGCCTAACTTTAGTTCTATTGCTGCCCCATTAACAGTGATTATTAAAAAGAATTCTACCTTTTCATGGGCTAAAGAATAAGAAGATGCCTTCAATGAAATGAAGGGATGTTTGACAAATGCACATTTACTTGCACTACCTAACTTTGATAAGACTTTTGAAGTGGAATGTGATGCCTATAGAATATGAGTTAGGGCTGTTTTGACTAAAAAGGGTGACCCATCACATACTTTAGTGAAAAGTTAAATGGTGTTTTGCTAAACTATCCAACTTATGACAAAGAGATGTATTCTCTCAGAAGAGCACTTGAAGTTTGGTAGTATCATCTTTGCCAAAGGAGTTCGTCATTCATACAGATCATGAAGCCTTAAAGCATATTAAAGGCCAGCACAAGTTGAACAAACGTCATGCCAAGTGGGTAGAATTCTTGGAATCATTTCTATATGTTATCCATTACAAGAAATGTAAGTATAATATTATAGCAGAAGCACTCTACAAAAGGTACATTCTCCTTAGCACTCTTGATTCAAAATTAATTTGTTTTTCATATATTAAAGATTGTTATGCTACTAATCATGACTTTGGAGAAAGGTATAAGGCTTATGAAAAGGGTGCAGAAGAGAAGTTCTATAAGCATGAAGGTATATAGTCAAAGAGGGGCGTCTATGAATTCCTCAAGGGTCACTTCGAGAAGTACTCGTTCGAGAAGCACATGAAAAAGGTCTCATGGGTCATTTTTGGGTAAGTAAAACCTTGGAAATATTGAAACAACACCTCTATTGGCAAAAAATGAAGAGACACGTTGAAAAGGTATGTGAAAGATGTGTTACTTGCAAAAGGGCCAAATAAAAGGTTATGCCACATTGTCTATACATGCCTCTACCAATTCCAAAAGGACCAAGGGTTGATATATCAATGGATTTTGTAATGGGGCTGCCAAGGATAAAGAACGAACATGATTCCGTATTTGTGGTAATGGATCATTTTTCCAAGATGGCACGCTTCATAACATGCCACAAAACTGACAATGCAACTCATGTTGCTAACTTGTTCTTCAAAGAGGTTGTGAGATTACATGGCGTTCCAAAAACCGTAGTCTCTAATAGAGATGTTAAATTTCTTAGCCATTTCTGGAGGACATTATGGAGCAAGATTGGAACAAAGTTACTATTCTCCATGACATGTCATCCACAAACAGATAGACAAATGGAAGTGGTGAACCGAGTGCTATAAACTTTATTGAGATCTGTCATCAAAAAGAATATCAAGGCATGGGAAAAGTGCTTACCACACATTGAATTTGCATACAACCAATCTGTCCAGTTAACAACGAAGATGCCACCATTCGAGGTAGTATATGGATTTAATCCTTTAACACCTTTAGATTTTCTTACTTTGCCGCAGAATATATAGTCAACCAATATGGCAAGAATAAGGCTGAGTTCATTAAGAAGCTTCATCAACAAGTCCGAGACAACATAGAGAAGCGTACAAGATAATATGAATAATAAGCCAATAAAGGACGCAAGCATTTAAAGTTGGAGAAAGTGATTGGGTTTGGGTGCATTTGAGAAACGAATGTTTACATTCACAAAGAAAATCCAAGCTATTACCAAGAGGAGATGGACCATTCCAAATCATCAAAGAGATCAATGATAATGCATACATGTAACACCCCCAACCCGTATCGACCCAGATACAAATCTGAGGTGTCACATTGACGATTCAAAACATATACTTTTATAAAAACCATAGAAAATTTAAACTTTCATTAATATAAAGTTAACCTTTTACATCAATATATTAATAACATTACCAAAATCGATCAGAGCATAAATACTTAACGACTTTGTTTACATCGTTTACATGCCAACATGTCTATTACATAAAAGACATACTTTACAAAATATTTTTGATCTGATCTTCAAGTGGAGATATGATGTTCTGCTGGTCTTAAGCTTGATCCTCTTGCTTATCAGCACCTACGTGTAAAACACTTACACGCTAAGTAATAGACTTAGTGAGACATGTAACCATTAATCGAAATTTCTACTACCTTCAGGTCTATCACTTGTCCTTTCCTTTCGGGAACTCTCACGATCAAACATCTAAAACATAACCATATAATTATATTAGAAGACAACATTGTAACATCCTCAATACCGGGTTAGTGACTAAATTGTAAAATTTTAGAATTTAATAATTAAAGTAGAATAATTGAATAGTTCAAAGACTTATATGGGAAAAATTTGTGTAGGATTGAATTACAAAGAAGAAGGAATAGAAGGAAAAAATGGTCATTTAGTAAAGAAAATAATGAAATTTTGTTATGGTTATATTAAACCCACGTGGATTGAAGGGAGGCAAAAATCAAAGTCTCTAGAGTTTTCTTCTTCTTTTTCTTATTCTTCCTTCTTCATACGTGAAAGCCAAAGAAAAGGTGAGTTTTCTTATTAACTGATTATTAGTTAAAGTTAAGCATGGGTTTTGGTCATTAGATGATACTTAAGCTTAAGGAAACCTTAAGCAATCTTAAAATCAAAGGATGAATGAGATAGGAGAGATTAAAGATTACAAGTTTTTTAATGAAAACTTGGAAAATAGTTGATAAGTAGAATTGGAATCTAAATTTGACTTATCAATAGTTGAATTAAGAGATATGTAGTGATAGAATTGAAATTAGAACATATAGAAAATTTGGTATGATTCTTGATTTTCATTTTGAGGATGAGATTTTAAAGATAAAGAGGTATTAAATGCATATGAATTGGTTTGGGCATGTATATTTGAGTTAAGAGTATTAAAGGGGTTAAAATATAAAGAATTTAAGTTGATATGGAGTAATTTTCGGGCTTAAAAAGGAAAATATGGGCTATGGGTATCGGTGTTGATTCATCAGGTACCGATACTTCAAGAGTAAAATAAGGAAGGCATTCATGAGGTATCGATACCTGAAGAACATTATCGATACCTAAAGAACAATATCGATACCTGAAGAACAGTATCGATACCATAAAGACGATATTGGTACCATCAGGACGGTATCGATACCATCAGGACGGTATCGATACCATCTTTGAAACGAGAATTACATAATGCAATATGGGTATCGATACCTAGGCATGGTACCGATACCACAGTTAGGGAAGTATCGATACCCTATGGGGGTACCAATACTACTTCAAATAGAAAATGAAATTTTGCCTTTCCTTTAGTTTAAGAAATGAGAAATCAGAGTATTCTATTTAGGATACGGATATGTATAAATGTATGATTATGTAGACATCGAGAGTAAGCAAGTTCTGGAACGACCACCGAGTTAGGATTCGATCTAAAGAAAGGAATTCATAGAAGTAGTTGATATCAAGGTGAGTGCATATTATAGGATTAGTTTGGTGGAAATATGACTTGTGATAGTCTATTTCCTATATCAGTTTTCATGATCTAATAATTATGGACATGCATATGTTTTGATCATTATAGATACATGCATGAGTTATACATGTTTATATGATTTAATATATGTTATTTGATTCATGTGAATATATTGGAATAACATGTTATATGATATGAAAGTGATAGTTACACATATATGTGATATGTGACAGAAGAGAGGAAACATGTGATCATAAAATAATTGATATGAATACATGAATATAGTGCCCATGTTATATGATATGAGAGCTATAAGTATTGTTGGCATGCCAAGAGTCGAGGGTTACCTATGTTCTTCAGGACATATGGACAGGTACCTATGTTCTTCGGGACATATGAATAGGTCCTTCGGGATATAGATTTTATATATCACTTAGTGGATTCTTATACAAGCTGTGGTGACATCATATGTGTGCAAAATCTCAAAGTACTCGTATACCTTGAGTTCTCAATAATGTACATGGGATTATAAAAGATGTCAAGAGTATGTACATGTTTGCCTACTAACATGTTATTATTGTTTATATTGATTCATATATGGCATCGTGGATTTATGATATGATAAGCATAATTGTCATTAGATAGTTGACTGTATGTTCATATTTATAGAAATTTCTTATTATATGTTTATGCCTCACTAAGTCTATGACTTAGCGTGTAAGTTCTTTACACATAGGTACTGAGAAGCAAAACGACCAAGCTTAGGATCAGCAGAACAATATACAACCACTCAAAGATCATATTAGAAGTAAATTTACAGTATGCATTTTGTTGTATTTAAAAGTGTTGGCATGTAGAAAACATATAATTTACATATGCTCTTATCAGTTTTGTAATATTTTGGGTTGTACTTATGTAAACTATTAACTTATATTACTGAAAGTTTAAATTTTCCATAGTTTTTATATATTCACATGTATTGAAAAGTTAATGTGGC